GTGTAGCCTTACCACAGCTCCTCACCCACCTTTTCCTAAGAGCAGGCTAGTGAACCACGTCAAGTTTTCATGAGCTCTTCGGAACTCACTCTAGCCCAGAAGCTCCATGAGGACAAGAAGGGTTCACAGCTCTTTGACTTACTATTGTTTCCAAGACAACAAAATAGTGCCTAGCACCTGAGAGGTAGCCAGAAAAATACAGGGGGGCTTCAAAACGTTCCTGGAAATTTAACATTATCTTTTCCATTTTCTAGAATCCACTAGTACGTGTTGAATGGATGGGTTACATATTATCCTGTGGGCTTTGAGGTTCTGAAATAGATTTTTAAAAGCTAGTATATAAAGCAATCTACTAACTGTACTATCTACATTGTCTATTAACTACAGGTGGCAATCTTAATGTAAATGTAAACATTTAAATTGACTCAAATTAAAAAGTCAGTCTCTCAGACATTTTAGCCACATTTCAAGTGCTTAGTAGCCACAAGTGGCTGGTGGCTATCATATTGTAGCAGAGATACTCAACCTCTGAACTGTCAGAGAAAGTTGTATTGGGCAACCCTGGGAAAGCATTATTAGCAGAGGCCAAAGATAGTGACCACCATCTTTTTGAGGTGAAATTCCCATGCGACTGTGATGTGCATTCAAAATACCAAAAAACAAACAAGCAAACAAAAAAAACCCTTTGCATATCTTCCCCTACACTATAGGAACTTAGGCACGAAATCATGTGACCCACAGAGGTGACCCACAGAGTTAGTTCTGAATTTAAAATTGCTATAGCTGGACAACAGAGGGACTGATAGCAAGCCTGACATTTGTTTGATATACACTGACTAGACCAGTTGTTAAAGTGGGAACTCTCTGTACCAGTTCATAAGAGCTGATGGTTCAAGCTCGTCTGATACCTATTTCCTCTGCCCCAGAGGCCTGAACCATTCACCTAGACTCCCCCAACTTCCCCTCAGTCATCAACTAAAGCTTAGCTAATGCCTGTCCCGTCCCTGTCCCAGCTCTGCAGGTCTTGGTTTGGTGGACGCTGGCCTTGACTTACTGTCCCGTGGCCTCTTGGAAAGGGCTGCTTTCCAAGACTCCCCAAGATGGTCATCACCACCATGGCCAAGTCCAAGATCACAGATCCGTTGTCCTCATGATCTTAAAAATCATCTGGTGCAACCCCCTCATTTCACTGGAAAAAAATCAAGTCCCTGAGAGCCATTCGGGTACTTTGTGGCCAATTCAGAAATCTACAATCTTCTCAGTACTTTTTTGCTTGCTACATCTTCCTGTATCTGTTTCTTTGAGTGTGAAATGGGGATTAACATCTTTATGCCTCACAAAGTTGTTAGTAAAAATTAGTAGTCATACCCAACATTTAATGTGTGTTTTATAGTTTAAAAAAAAAAAGCCTCGTGCATATCTTCTAATTTAATTTTCTCACCACCTGGGAGCCATGTGACACTTAGAGGCCCTGAGTGGCCTGTCCAAGGTACACAGCTACTAAATGTGGCAAAGGTCTCACTAACTCTCTGGGGGCATTGGAAGCTGTGAACCCTTTTCAAGGGTAAGACACTATACCCACAACGCAGGCCGAGTGTCTAACTTGTGCTACTTTGCAGTTCCGGATTTGGTGACATTGGAAGTGGGAACTTGGTTCACGAGCTTTTTTATTTTTACTTTGATAATGTGCCAACTGCACAGACTTTAGTAACATTGAAACAGAAGAGGACTGCTTCCAAATCTATTTTTAAAATGAGAGAATCCAAATTTGTCATTAGCTTTACAAATGCTAATTGTACAGTTTGAGTATCTAAAGAGCTTCTGGTAATCATTTGAGCTGTAGTTGGTGATTTGGCATGGTGTGTGTGTGTGTGTGTGTGTGTGTGTGTCTCCCAGCATTGGGACCCTTTGGGTGTGGGGGGAACCAACATGTTTCCTTGAGGGATTATTTCCTCTATCACCACTCTATTTTTCATACCCTGTAGTGCTGGTGTGCTTGGAAAACTAACCACATTCTGAGTGGGGGGTGGGGAGGGCAGGGATATCATTTCTAAGACATTCTGCTCACTTTGATACCTAGTTGTCAGGAGAATGCTACTGACATTCCAGTGACACGCCTTAGTGTAGAGAAAGCGTGGCCTGAGGCATCTTTCAGCGTTTTCCTTCATCATTTGTATAGAGACAACCCTTAAAGTTAGGTAAAATTGTTAAGGAAAGATCAATTCAACTCAGCCCCAAAATAAACTTGAAATATGCATTCTTCCTTTCTTTCCTCTATCGTTGTATACCACTGTCTCTATTGTCTTGTCACTCGTTTTCTCTCTAACTCTTCGAACTTCAATCAATTCTGGCTCAGGGACGCCATAGGACAGAGTGGAAGTGATCTGTATAGTAGATCCTTATAGTAGGCAGCCTCATATTCCTCTTGAAGAGTAGATATGAGTTTGAACCACAGACCTGTGGTTAGCTGCCCGATGCTTAACCTACCATGCCCTCAGGGTTCCTCATACTATCTACTAGGTTCAAAAATTGAGTTTTTAGGTAAGAAAAAAAGTAATACTATGTTTTCGTTTGAGTATAAAAATTTGGTATTCTCTACACCAATTGTCCTGAAAAGGCCAATATATACAAAGAGGAAAAAATGGAAAGTGATTAGAAAAAGCTACAAATGAAAAGAAGTATTAAGAGCCCAGCTTTAGCATTACTGAGGTGCAGTCACATTTTAGAAGAATGAATTTGTATGATGTTCATGTTTTTAAATCATATATTGTGTGTCTTCATGTTTATGTTAGTCTGGGTAGACTAGAGAAACACATTCATAGACAGTCGTGTGCATAAGAAAGAGTGTTAAAAATTAAAAAAAAATTTCAAGAGCGTTACATAAAGAGTAATTGTACAATAAGAAAACATCCCAGCCCAGGGTAAATCAAGTCTATAAGCCCAATCTATAAAGTCCTCTTCAGACTCATGAAACACATGCAGTGATGTCAAATGCAGGAAGATCACAGGCCAGTGGGTGGAAAGTCTTATGGATCCAGTGGCATTGTAAGAATCCCAGTGGTGGCAAGGGTCTACACGTGGCTCCTCCAGCTCAGGCACTAGGCAACTCCATGTGTCTTCTCAGCTGGAAAGTCTCCCAGGGAGTGAGCATGTGTCCCCCCTGCAGCGAGCTATTTATCTCCTGAGTGCCTCCAAATGAGGTCATCAAGCTGCCATCTGATTGACAGGCTAACGTCTACCCCTTCACTCTTAATCCTCAAATTGACAACAGATTATGTAGCTACCACAATGTTTTTCCACATGTACCCGATTTAGTGTGGTATGTTGATTAAACTCTCAACACTCGTATTCTCTGAGAGAGACCACCTCCCTCACGTCAGGGCTTGCGTATAGTTTTCTATTATACAGTGTTCTTGGGTTCTATTTACACTCATTTCCCTACTTCCTGTCGAGTCTGTAGATAGCACTAGCAAGAGTGCAAAGGCAAAGTTGGTGATTTAAGTCGTCAGGGTAATGAGACACTAACCCCAAACCCACTGCCATTGAGCTGATTCCAATTCATGGAGACCCGTTAAAAGGTTTTCAGCACGATAAATCTTTACAGTAGCAGACAGCCTCGCCTTTCTAATGGGAGCAGTTGGTGAGTTTGAACCACTAACCTTGGCATTAGCAGGCCAACACCTAACCCACAGTACCAATCAGAGCTCCTTAATGAGACCCTAAATCAAGCCAAAGCCACTGCCATAGGGTTTATAAGGCTTTGTAACTGTTTACAGGAGAAGAAAGCCAGCCTCACCTTTCACCATTTGAATTGCCAGTCTTATAGTTAGTTCAGTGCATATTCTGCAGCGGCAATATGGCCACTTAATGCGACACTACCAAGCTTCCTGCCATCAAATGGATGCTGACGCATGGTGACTCTGTAGGACAGTTAAACTGTCCCTGTGAGTTTCCTCTTTACAGGAGTTTAAAGCAGCTGGCAGTTTCAAACTGCAGACCTTGCAGTTACAAAGTCCAGTGTGTAACCACTATGCCACCAGCATTTGAATAAATGTTTGAAATTCCCAATCTCTTTTCCTCTCAATTTATGAAGGTGTTAGTGGGGCGGAGTGGTTATACGGTGGTGTGTGTGTCGGGGGGAGATGAGCATGGACATTCTTCCAGCAATCTCTGCCCTGGTGCCCTTAGATAATGCATGCGAGGCACGGGCAGTACAGTTGACACATCATATGCACTCATGAGTTTAGCCAGCACTCCTGGTTTGTCTGATTTGACTGTATCTTCAGAGCCTCTGTGTTTGCTCTCGGATGGGCATGCAGGAAATAGGAAAATACGAAACCGAAGGGGCGCGTGAGGCCTCAGTGCAAACCCTGACTGATCAGCCCACACATAGTCAGAGGCTGGTTGTTTTTCTCCGTGTGATGGTGTGCTGTAATCCTCCAGACATGTTAGACTGATTGGTCCCTGGCCCGTCTTTGAGCTGCTTGCAGGTCAGGGCAGCACCCTGGGAGGACATGGACATGTGGCTTTTAATACCCTGGACTTGTTTATAGGAATTCTGTTTGTGTGGGTTAGTCCAGAGAAGCACAGCCAGAGGGCACCAACATGGTTAAACCCAAACCCAGAAAGATCCAAACTTACTGCCATTGAATCAGTTCCGACACATAGCAACACTATTAGGATTTGCGAGGCTGTGAATCTTTACAAGGGGCAGACAGCCTCGTCTTCCTGCCGCAGACCAGCCGGTGGGTTTGAGTCACCGGCCTTGCAGGTAGCAGTCAGCACTTACCCAACAGTGCCACCAGGGCCCCTGAAAATTAGTTTCCAAAAGCTGAAGCTTAGCTGCTGTGGAGTCAACCCTGACCCATAGCAACCCTAAATGCTTGTAGCGGTTGTAAAGTCAGGTGGGGCAAGGCTGGGGGCATGGCAGGGATGGGATACCAGGAGTGGAAATGTGCAAGATTTACTTTGCTAATGGAGAACTGTTCCTCTCCAAATAGGTGGATGCCCGCTGACCTGTCACAAGGTTGCCCCACAAAGCTTTGGGGTCCATGTCTGAATGGATTGCTGTAGCCTCCTCACTTCTCCCTTCGCCCAGTTCCCTGCGTCCTAAGACTCAAAGCCAGCACAGGACCTGGAAAAATTACATGTAAGTGTTAACTAAAGTCTCTGTTCCAAAACGAATGATAGTAAACTTATTCTCGAAATTGTTGTAGGCAATAAGAACAAATAACCAAGCTGGGCATGAAACACTTCTTTTTGTCAGTATACCACGCTCTCACTGAGCAATGGGGACATAGGAACTGCACATTGAAGTTTCTGCAGCTCCTTAACTCAAATCCAACTCACTGCCATAGAGCCTGCCTCAGTATGAAGGATCATTCTTAAAGTGTTCAGTACACTTACTCATACCTGAGAAAAGAGCTGTAAGATCCCCTCCACACTTTCCTACTTGAAACCCCAGCCAAGGAGCTTCTTTTCTTCTGTGCCAGCTTGGCTCTGGAGTTTTTGGTTCATTCTTTGCCCCGGGTTTTAACAGGTGTGACTAATAGAGCCGTTATTAGGCTAAACTGCAGCAATTGTCTTTTTGCAGGTGAGCTCATCATGCTTTTAGAGGCACTAAGAAGAGAAAACCAGGTTTCCCCTGGGCTGGGAAAATATATTGTTCCTTTTCAAAGTGAGTCATCATGGTATTATCCCTCCCGTAATACACTGAAGTGTGACGTGATTTACAAAGCACAGCTGTGAAGGGAGGCATAACTCTCCTCAATAGCCCCAGTCAGAGATCGCTGGTTTTCGTGGGGGGTTTTAGATGCCCAGGACTGATTATGTTTTGAGGATCTACATACTATTGTGTTTGTTTAAACTCAAACCCCAAACTCACTGTCATCTTAGAGCAAGCAATCATATACCTGTTGAAGACATGAACAACTTATACCATGTTAATATTGTTTAAGTAGAACTAAGCAAATACATAATTGGATGCATATGAACACACGCACACGTGTCCATATGTGTTCGAGGTCATATGTGTTTTATGTATTTTTAGGCTCTCACTGTAGGAATTACAACATTTTTCCTGTGTTGCGATGAGTGTGATAATAACACAAGTGTTTCTGTCCAGTAAATGTTTGAGAAGTTCCTGGGTATTTTAATTCTTTAAGAAAGTGCTATAATTTATAACATTTTACTTGAATATGGAATGATCATTCAAAGTAGCACTTAGTTCTTTTATAACTCTCTGAAATGGAGAATAATCATTATTAATAAAGCCATTTCCAGGTAAATATGCAATGAAGGAACATGTGTAATGCCTCAACATTATCAGAAGCAGAAATCCTAGAAATGGATTTACATGCATATGCATCTAAGTGAAGATCACAAAATCAGAAAAATAGATGAAAAGTGGTAGGTGATGAAGGCTTCTATAACATGAAGGGTCTTCAAAAAGTTTGTGGGAAAATGACATGATCTTTTCATTCCATTTTTCCATGAACTCATGACTCCATTAACCCACAGCAATCTCCTGGGATCGCAGGACTGGGTCTCACATACTGTTAGATCTCTGGGGAGTATAGCATTCCTGGGAGGAAGGTTGTCAGTTAGGCAGTATCTTCTTTATATAATAAAATGTGGATTGGATCAAGAGCTCTTTAATGTTCAAACATGGGTACAAACCAAAACCAAACCTACTGCCATTGAATCAATATCAACTCACAGTGACCCTGTAGGACAAATTTGAACTCCTCCCAAGGGTTCCAAGATGATAACTCTTTTCAGGTGGATACAGCCTCACCTTTCTCCAATGGAACAACTGGTGGGTTTGAACCGCCAACACTTAACTCACAGTGTGACCAGGGGCTCCTTTAAACACGTGGAGTTCTTAGGATTTACAGCCGAGATGTTTGGAGACTACAATGCGGTCCATAATGGTACATTTCCTCTCGGTGGTTAGGAAGGGCAGAAGGCTGCTGTGGCTCCTCAGATGAGCTGGCTCCTGCTCCGGTCAGGGCAGGATGGACCTGCCCGAATCACCCTCTGTGCCCCTGACAAAACACACAGTCACCTCTGCCCAGAAGCTTCTATGAAGCTGACTCCCAGGGCCCACCTGCTTCCTAAGAAATGCTGTGCAAAATACCTAGTGAGAACTCGACAGGGGTGCGCTCATCCCTAATACTGCCCCTGACACCCTTTGGTAAGGGGAGGAGAGCTGCAGAATAGTTCAGCCTTGGGCCCTGATTTTCTCCCAGGGTAAGAACATATGAGAGGGCATCACACAGTCCATGGGAACATTCCATATCTTTTCATTTGATTTTTCCATGAACTTTGGAAGCCCCCTTGTACTTGTTAGAAACCATCAGGGAGAGCGACGATGGACAGCTGTAGTGTCCACTAAAGGACCCTTTACACATATAGGCAACCTGCGTCCCTGTGACAAAGGAAAGCGTGTAACCCCCTGTGTGGCTGGAGCAGAGCACAGCTGGATGGTATGTCAGTAAATGACTCATGTCTAAGCCACCAGGGTGTGCAGTGTTACAGAGCTGTGTGAAAAGCTGCGGCAGCAGACGGGTTCATCAGTGGAGTTGAGTGTTTAGGCAGGAACCAAGAAATTAAGACTTTCCATAGATTCTACAAGTAGAAAATGAAAACTTCAAGAGAAAATTAACAGAAAATCGTTTTCCGGCTATGTTTCTAAATATTATGATACCTGTTTCACATCCTCCAAATTAAGAATAATTTCTTTTCCACCACCAAAAGTTTGTAATATTGGGAAGAAGGGCTTTTCTTCTACCCTCAGATTATACAGTTCAGTGCGTGGCCTGAAGTCCTCTGAGGACTCCGGAGGGTTGAATCCACTGGGCTCATCCATTCACGCCTGTGTTTGTTGGGCGTGCTCTTTTATTTTGTGCTTCTACAAAGCTGACCCGGAAGAAGGACGAGAGAATTCTCATGGAGCCTAGTAGCCATTTTACTTCGGGTGTCCTTCCCTCACTATCTGCGGGCCCTAACCTTGGACCTGACCAGGGATGAAGACTCCTGAAGAGTGCTCCCTAAGATTCCAAAGTTTCAAAAAGTTAAGCCACTGTCCCAAATTATTGCCCTTCTTCCTTAAGGCACCAAGATCATTAGAATATATGGCTATAGGTGTTTGTAGATTATATTGTACATATAGGTGTGTACGCACACACATGTACATAGGATTAAGGAAAAGGTAGAGCCAAAAAAAGAGATCAGAGAAAGTCACCAACATTAAACTTATATTATTACCTTGTTAGGTACCGTCAAGTTGGTTCCAACTCAGCGTAACCTTATGAACAACAGAATAGAAACACTGCCTGACCCGACTGTCCCCACGGTCATCCCTCTCTTTGAGCCCATTGCTGCAGCCAATGTGTCAGCCCTTCTCCTTGAGAGTCCTCCCTTTTCACTAAGCGGGCCTAGCTCTCCGGGTAGCATGTCCAAAGTGGGTGAGACAGTCTTGCGATTCTCACTCTTAAAAGTAGTCTGGCTGCACTTCCGAAACAAATTTGTTCTGCCGCCAGTTCATAATTTATTTAATCTTCTTTGCCGACCCCATCATTCAAAGGCTTCCATTCTTATTCCGTCTTCCTGATTCGTTGTTGTCCAGTATTTGAGGCGGTTGACAAAGACCCTGGTTTGAGTCAGCCTCACCTTAGTCTTCAAAGTATCATACTTGCTTTTCAATACTTTAATGAGATCTTTTGCAGCAGATTTGCCCAATGCCATATATCATTTGATTTCCTGACCACTGCTTCCTTCGGTGTCAACTGTGGATTCAGGAAAATAGGATCCTTGACACTGTGAGTCTTTTCTTGATCATGATGTTGTCTGTTGGTCTGGTTATGAGGATTTTGTTTTCCTGATGTTCGTGTGTAATCCATATTGACGGCCGTAGTCCCTGATTTTCGTCAGGAAGTAGTTCTGTAAGCTTTCAGCCAGTGAGGCTGTGCCAACTGCATGTCACAGGTTAGTGTTTTTTTAATCATTTTATTGGGGGCTCATTCAACTCTTATCATCATCCATCCATACATCCACTGTGTCAAGCACATTTGTACATTTGTTGCCCTCATCATTCTCAAAACATTTGCTTTCTACTTGAGCCTTTAATATCAGCTCCTCATCTTTTCCCCTCCCTCCCCACTCCCCTCCCCCTCGTGAACCCTTGATAATTGATAAATTATTATTATTTTGTCATATCTTACACTATCTGACATCTCCCTTCACCCACTTTTCTGTTGTCCATCCCCCAGGGAGGAGGTTATATATAGATCCTTATCATCGGTTCCCCCTTGCTACCCCACCTTCCCTCCACCCTCTGGTATCACCACTCTCACCACTGGCCCTGAAGGGATCATCCACCCTGGATTCCCTGTGTTTCCAGTTCCTATCTGTACCAGTGTATATCCTCTGGTCTAGCCGGATTTGTAAGGTAGAATTGGGATCATGATAGTGGGGGGGAGGCTAGGGGAGGAAGCATTTAGGAACTAGAGGAAAGTTGTATGTTTCATCGTTGCTACACTGCACCCTGACTGGCTCGTCTCCTCCCCACGACCCTTCTGTAAGGGGATGTCCAGTTGCCTACAGATGGGTTTTGGGTCCCCAGTCTGCACTCCCCGTCATTCACAATGATACGATTTTTGTTCTTTGGTGCCTGATACCTGATCCCTTTGACACCTGGTGATCACACAGGCTGGTGTGCTTCTGAGCTACATGGCCACTTGTTTACCATATCACAAGTTTTTAATGAGTCTTCCTCCAATCTTGATGCCACATTCTTCTTTTATGTAATACAACTTCCTGGAATATTTGTTCAGCATACACACTGAATAAGTATGTATAAATGCTGACATTTTCCCTGACTTTAAACCACGCAATATTCCCATGTTCTGTTCAAACAACTGGCTCTTGGTTTATGTACCGGTTCCAAATGAACACAATTAAATGTTCTGGAATTCCTAGTCTTTGTAATCTTATCCATAGTTTGCTAGGATTTACACAGTCAAATGCTTTCGTATAACCATTAAAGCACAAGTAAACATCTGTCTGGTGTCTTCTGCTTTCAGCTATGATCCACCTCCATGTCCACAATGATATCCCTTGTTCCAAATCCAGTCTGAATTTCTGGCA